TGATGATGATGATGATGATAATGATAATGATAATGATAATGATAATGATAATAATAATAATTAGGTAGTAGTAAGTAATAGTAATGATAATGGTAATAGTAATAGTACTGGAATAGAATAGAATAGATCAACAACACCAAAAATTTGTTTTGACTAACCATCATACTGTTGTAATAGAAATATTTAAATAACACAGGTAAGTACATTAAAAAAGAGTCCAAACCCAAGAGACATATCATTTCCGAAGGAATTGGATGCGCTGTAGTCAAAATTCATGTCTTGCCGATGAATTTCGTTTCGGAGAAAAGTGAAACTTTTGGGTAAAAATGTCCAAATATGGGTCAAAACTGATTTTTTCCTTAATTTTGTTCGAACAGGTCATTTTCGTAATAAAATCCACTAGTTGTGTGAAAACTGGCCAAAATACTATAAAATAATATTTTTGGACAAAATTTGGGAAAAAATCAGTTTTGATACATATTTGGGCCAGTTTTCACCCAAATAGTAAATTTTCTGAGAAATATCGAGGTCACGGATAAATATTAGTAATGGCATGGTGTTCAGCGTCTCAGAATACTGCGAAAAAATTTCCGAAGAGGGGTGATCTGAATCCATACGAATTAAAAAATTCAAACATTCTCCACATACCGTAATGCAGAACTACCCAAGTCTCCAAATCGTCTGCAAAAATGTCACTCAAATTATATAATCATCTGCTTCACGATATCCGGGATATTCCAAATGTTATACCTTGGACTGGCGTATTTATTTTTCCAACAGTCACTACAAATACTTATGAATTGCAGAAAGGACATAGGTCACGTGAAAATATTTTTTTTTAGTCTAGTTCTCTTTTTAGAGATAATTTTCCATCGCAGAAAACAATATTTCATTTCTTGTTTTAGGTTGAAACTATTGGAGATGCTTATTGTGTCGCTGGTGGATTACATAAAGAAACTCAAACACATGCTCAACAAATAGCTTGGATGGCATTAAAAATGATTGAAACTTGTTCTCAGTATCAAACTCATCAGGGCCAGCCCATAAAAGTAAGTAAGTATAAAATAAATTGCAGCCAATTAGTAATTTTCATTAAAACGGGTTCAGGAGTGTGTTATAAATCCATACGATTAAAACTATTAAAACTGTGCTTAAAATATTTTGCATAATTTCATACTTCCCTACAAGAACGCCATGTCGCCGCATAGATATATACAGGGTGGCCAAATGAAAACGAAACAGCCATTTTCAGGAACTGCGTCAAGATTGTAGAAAAACGTTCAGACCCGTCGATGTTAGATTAAAGGGAGACATTCTTTGCTGGTATTTTTGACTCTGCCACTTTCACCCCAGGCAAGGGTAAGCATCACCCCAAAATATTTAAATGGCATTAGGGGTTGAGTAATATTTCTTTTGAAAGCTCTTACAATTCTCTTTACAACAGACTTTAAATTTTATAATTTTTTAAAGTATACACAACTTGTAAAAATACGTTGTTCGAACAATACAAAGTATAAGATATTGAATTATACAGGAAAATTAATAGGAATTGTTAGTATGTACATACATATTATATTTAAGTATAGCGAGTACTAAATAATAATATTAAAAATTAAATATACTTAAACTAGACAAGATTTCTCGATCAAATATTGTGCCTGACAATTTACTAATAGAGATACCTTTTTTATTGTAAACTGTTAGACGAGTCCGAAAATAAAAAAAATATTTTTAATCCATTGGCGTTCTACATTTTATGACGAAAACGTCGACTGACTCTCCTCTAACTTCGCCACTGCGGCAGATGAAAATTGACGTTATACATCTCTTTGCCAGCGTACAATAAATTTTAAGAACCTAACATTGACTGTTTCAAATTTATTTCAAGTATTAATATATTTTTAAACATTTTCAACAACCTGTATTTCGAAATCGAAACGATTCCGACCAAATGTTTATGGGAACATTTTTTCTTTAATTACCGTAAGAAATTGTGTCCTGAAGCTCCGTACTTAGGAAACACCCTGTAATGAGCGTTTGTCTTTACTATTTAAAATGTCTAACTTTAACTCACGAGTTAGGAAATAAGACAATACGAAATTTATAGATTAAAAACAGATAAACTGCAAAATAAAATTATTAATATCTTAAAAACGGTTCATTGGGACCTCGTCATCACAACTTTAATAAAAGGTACCCATATTCCATATTCTGATCGATCCAGCGATGTAGAGGCAGTAAGTCGCTTACGCCTTTCTTCCCCCACATCAGAGACTAATTCTGCATTCGAGTCTGCTTCTCAATCTGCAGTTTTGCCTCTACATTCATATTTTATAATGTTAAGGATTTATTTTGTACAGTTTGGTCGTATGGGTCAATTGCACAATTCTTCAATTGGCCAAAATAATTTTCAACATAATTATTGCTATAGCAATTTACACTTTCTCTAATCATTAACCCTATCCAGAAAACGCAATAAGGCATATATTTATTAATAATATTGTCAAGGAAAAATGGTGCATAATAAGGATTGTCTTTGACACCCACCTCAGTTACAATTACGCTAGCAGCTCTGCCACAAAAATGTTTATAAAACAGGCTCATTTTGTAAAGTCTATCTGATTATAACGTCTTCGAAATAAATCTATTTCCAATTTATCGAAAATCCAACAATTTTGTTATACAAACTTCTATTCTGTAGCACCACTAAATTTCGAAATCATTGTCAATACTACTTGTTTTTAAGCTGAATACATTTAGCTACCAAAGTTTTATAAACATCTAGTTTTCGAATCGTTGAAATAGCCATTTACATTTCTCATTTTTAAAAATGGGTAGAACACATAGTCTGTTGATTTTTATGTTTGTAGGTTTGTTTTAAAAGGTTTCTTTCGATATAAGTGCATAATTAAAATTATCACAGTAATTAATTTAAATTTATTTATTTTTTTTTTTTATTTATTTATCTTGTTGTAGACAAAAAAGGATTGTATAACAATAGTCAAATAAACATATAATAACTTAACCTAGGACACAACAGCAGAAAAAAATTCCAATAAAGAATAAAAACACTTATCTACTAAAAATAATTTCAGTTTTTGTTTAAATTGAGATATTGTAATCTTATCAGTCTTGAGTTCACTCGGTAAATGGTTATATATCTTAAATCCCAAACAATCTGGTGAATTAGCTGTTATGGTATATTTTGCAAAAGGAATTCGGATATCATAGCATTGTCTGGTATTGATTGTATGTATATCCTTATTCAGAATTAAAGACTCCTTATTATTATATATATACACAGACATTTCAAAAATAAATAATGATACTAACGTAAGAACATTAAAATTCTTAAATATATCTCTACATGTACGATGACTTGGCACGCCAGCAATTATTCTTAAAATACGTTTTTGTATGACAAAAACTGAATGAGACAAGGTAGAGTTACCCCAAAAACATATTCCGTAACGCAATCTAGACTCCACGTATGCATAATATAAATATTAACAATTGTTGTTTGTGCAAAATTTCTTTCATAGACTTCATTAAGTAGCTTACTGAACTTAATGTAGATATAAGATTATTGCAATGCATTTTCCAATTTAATGTATCATCCAAAGTAACTCCTAAAAATTTGACACAGTCTGTTTCATCACTGGTAATAGTACAGTTGTTAATATTTGCCGCAACAGACTCGCATTTTTTTTGCCTATTGTGAAATCTAATTAATTTAGTTTTGTCGGTATTTAAATATAAGTTATTACAACTGAACCACTTAGACACATTGTACAATGTATTTTCTAGATTAGTAGTCAGGTTTTTGTTGACTTATTTGAAATAATTAATGATAAATCATCAGCATACATTGTGAAAAAATTATTACCTATCGAACGAATGAATTTATATAAAGAATAAATAGTACAGGGCCTAGGACTGAACCTTGAGGAACACCCATGTCAATGGAATTAGATTCAGATTTAAATTCGTTAGTAAAGTCATCACTTGTAGAAGTAATAGACACATATTGTTTTCTATATTTTAAAAAAATCAATATAAAAACCGAAATTATGAATACTATCTAATACTTAAAGCAAAAATTCGGTCGGGTCATTTATAACATATAAAATCTTCGCTCACCAAGGCAGGGACAGAAATGACATTATCGAAGGTAATATTATAATGTTGTCTTAACTTTAGAGGACGAGCAGAATCATAATGGCGCTGTATTTGTACCGTCATTTTTAAAATATGATACAAAGGATGCAAAATAAATGAATATTTCAACGATTTTAAATGAAATGGAATAACTGCCAAAATTTATTTTGGTTAATTGAAAAACATTGTGGTGTACAAAGAAAAAAACTTAAGTTCGTAATTCCTAATAAAATCGAGAGAATTTATTTGTCAATGAAGAAAAAAAACATGTAAATTCCCAAATAAAAATTTATAAAATACGAGCAGTTGTAAGTACATCTTCCATGAAGACTTGTAAGACAGTTTGGCGCGTAATTTAGCCACGATTTTAGTAGTTCTCTGTGGAAAATTTTGTGGTAGGAAACTGTTTGAGAAATTAATCACTGTGCTCAGTAAGTAGTTGCTACTCATTTTCATCCCCAATGAGGGCTTGTAATGCCATTTCGTTTATATTGTTAAATTGGCTACAATTTTAATAATTTCATGTGAAAATTTAGTGGTCTCACAGTGAACCGTATTCGAGAAATTAATTTTGTGCCATGTGGATTGTAAGGCCGCCTGTATTATGTAGTCGCATTGGCCACAATTTTTGGCTAATTTCGCTAAAAATTTGGTAAACGGCATCCCACAAATCTCTTATTCCCTAACTGTCACCCCGTTTCATCCCTTAAGGAAGGTGGTTTCTCATACATCACGGGATTGGTCAGAATATGGAATATGGATAGGTACCTTTTATTAAAGTTGTGATGAGGAGGTCCCAGTGAACCGTTTGCAAGGTATTAATCATTTCATTTCAGTGTTTCCTAAAATATTACAATGTTAGAACTAATTAACTATGATAACCACTCTTCTACATCAATAGCTTAGGCATTCGGGTATATTCGGAAACATTAGCTACCTAAACTAAAACCGCTGTATCTTTTCCATTACGTCACAAGCAATATTCGTATGAACTAAGACGAAAAATCCTAGTCAAATTAGTCACTGTTTTCATATAATTGAAATGTCATCTTGACAATTCCCAAATCTGGATTTCTGGCAAATTTTAATACTGGTGTTACTGGATATGAAAATCTGCCAAAAAATCTATATTTTAACGCTTAGAAAATATATATAACAGTTAGTACGGAGACGCGATCAAAACAACTGTCAAATTTTTAATCTGAGTGTCAGTTCTGTTTTTAAATGCGCTAGTCTAAAATTAATACCCAACAAACGTCCTCCATTTTCTCTCACTCTAATACAAATAAAATATTGGAGCCATTCAGCCCTATGCTGTAAAAACATTGAAATTAATTTCAACCTTGAAGTGATTTCAATGAAAATTGATATGTTCTTCAATTTTGGAGAAAATTGGTATGCACTAAGAACACTTGATTAGAAAACCTTGACATTAAAATTGATTGAAATTTATTTCAAGTGTACTTGTGGCAACGTCGCTATTTGCTATAGGGAGATACTGGTGACTATGGAAACAATCTTTATGAACAGAAACAGTGNTATAATATAATATATAAGCTGTGGTTCTACTATACCTGATTTGGCTGCTGTTTTCACACCGGTCGATCGTTCAGTCGTTTTTGAAAATTAGATTAAACTCTGTACGCTTGTGTGCTATTCTTCGCCTCTAAGCTGTTTAAATTAATATCCTATTTACAGATGAGGATTGGCTTGCATACAGGACCGGTTTTAGCTGGTATTGTTGGTGTTAAGATGCCCCGTTACTGCATGTTTGGACACAACGTAACTGTTGCAAATAAATTCGAATCTGGAAGTGAACCTCTTCGAATAAATGTTAGTCCTACAACGTTTCAGTAAGTACACACTGCACGTTACCTTACGGTATTCTGGCTGGCTTGATATACATATATACATATATACAGGGTGATTCAGTCATAAGGCCTAAGATAGAAAATCGAAAAAAAAAAAATTCACTCGACCTTTTAAAATATAAGCAAATACCCTTTAACTCCCGTTAATTCGACACTCCTGCGCTCCACTTCTCAACATATTTTATGACAGCGAACGCGCCGGCGGATTAGAGACCCTTAGAACTTTGAACGAAACGTATTATATAATAAAGGTCGTATTCCTTAGACAATTTTAAGTCGAAATTGCCTTACACACTTTGTCCGAAACTCAATAGTTAAGGAGTTTATGGGCAATATTTGCATACAGTTTATTTTCATTCAGTCTCTAATTCTTTCATTAATAAGATCCATCTCTAACAACAAATAAAAATTTTAGTAACTACGAGTAGATTTAAATTAAATGATAAAAATGAAAATGAAACGAGATTACATAGTCACCTGTGTTGTCGGTGCTTGCTTAATGCATACATTGAGTAAAATAGAATATTAATTTTTAATTTTATATTTAAAATCGTCTGGTAAAATATCTTTGTAATTTTGTGACCTAGATATGTCACCTTATTCCTAAAGAATTTATATTTTCCGGGTTTAATCAGATTATACCTTTAACAGGTTTCAAAAAATTTTCTAAATGCTTTAGATGAGAATTTGTGAACAACCTATTACTATTAGATCATCCATGTATATCAAATCAAATCAAATCAAATCAAATCATTTATTGGTGTCTACATATACCGGGTGATTCAGTTTGATATTCGCTGCCTCGTATCTCTTTTATTTTAACAAATAGCTATAACAAACCCTATATATTTTTAAATCGCTGCTCAAACTCTATCAAATGACTTTATTAGATCGTCTCCAAGGTAACATATCTCAAAATTGCTATAGTCAACTGTTTTTTTCAAATGGCATACTATATATTTTTTATCAAGTCTGGAAGGTATTTTTTTTCTGCGTTCAGCTATATAAGGAAGTTTATAGTTTCATTAGAAATATTGATAGAAAAACAGCAAAAATGATGAACCTTACTTTCAGTAGCTTTATATTCTGAAAAATGATAACCAGCTGCGGAAACAACTGAATTATGACATTTCTAAATAACGGTTTGTCAAAATAATTGACATTTTGTACCTACCTATTGTATCTATAATTCTATAACATGAATACTTACTGTAGCCAAGAAAAACTAGATATGATTTTTTAATTTATGGAGAGTGCCGAAATAACGCTAAAGCTGCAGGTATTTATACCAACATCGTTTTCCCCAGAGACAAATAACTCTACTATTTGTTAAAATAGAAGAGAATCAAGGCCGCGAGTACCAAACTGAATCACCCGGTAAAAATGGTTTTCCGGCGTAATTCCGGCTGGAAGCTATTAGGACGAACATTGGACCAAAACGTAATATTGTGAACATGAAAGATCCAGTATCTACACTGAATGACGTTACTTTGCGTGATTCTTCATTGCAAAATCCTGACATTAAATTAAGTACTGAAAACCATTTAGCTCTACCAAGTTTATCTAATATAACTTCTATATGGGAGACGAGAAATTTGTCAGCAATCATTTTTTTATTGAACTGGCGAAAATCTATGACTAAGCGCCGAGCTTTTTGACCATCTGTAGACTTTTTAGGGACTAACACTGGACTATTGTATCCAGAAATTGATGGTTCTATTATTTGATTTTTTTAATTGACCGTCATCACCGTTATCGCCACCATTTTGTTCCTTCCTGTTTATGCACAATTAATAAAATAAGTTATATTAGCATTTTATAGAATAGGACATAAGGGAAGGCAATAACCAATAAACTATCACGAAAAACCCATAAATGTTTTATTATTTTTACTTATTTTAAAATGTGTAAAAGCTCTTAATCATCACACCTCTTTTTGCATTGAAATACCCATATTAAGATAGTTCAATTTTCTTTATATTTCAGGAGACTAACAAAAACTGCAGGCTTCATAACAGTGGAACGTGATCGGAATTGTCTTCCAAGAGATTTTCCTTCACATATACCTGGAACGTGCCATTTTTTGATAGGATATAGACATCCTAATGTATCTCATTCTGAATCAATATCTAAACATATTGAGGCTGGTTTACGTGATATTGGACTAAATTAGATTTTTCTCAGTAACACAATAATATTGTTCCTGTTATGATGATGATCTATTTATTCGCAATAAATTAACAATTCTTTTCTGTATCCTTCTTGCGTCCTGATACTTTAAACGCGTAAGCAGATAAGTAAACTTTTAAATATTGTACCTATTGAGTAAAACAACAAAATGCGTTCGCTATTATGAACGTATATTTTAGAGAAAGAAATCAGAAAAGGTAATCTCTTTTACCTAATAATGCAATAAAAAAGTTGTTAGATTTCGAAAATAATAAGTATAATATAAACCTTTCCAAGAAATCAAAATAAATAATATTATAAAATTCAACAGATTAGTGATGCTGGTAATAATAATAACAATAATAAAGGAAAAGAAAATTTAAATAATTATTCACACAATTATACCTTATAAAATACACATAGAAATGGATATACACATACGTGATAATAGGGACGATATGGTTATAATTTTGTTTTACCTATAGTTATAAAAAATGGCATACCTATTAATGATTATAAAATTGCTATTCAAAATAAGACAGATGATGATAAAAACACAATTAGAGCTTGTGTTATTAATGCAATCACTAACTACAAAATCCACATGAAACAATAAAACAAAATTAAATAACACTCATAAATAAATTTAAAAAAACATAGAAACTCGCCACTTTATTAAAGAAAATCCACAAATTATTATCCTGACAAAAGTAAGAAACACTTCTGAAGACAACTCAAATATGTTAAGTTTACTAAATGGTACAAATACGTATAAAAAATTATTCAAATCCTACAAATATCTATCAAAATAAAAATAATATTTTAATAAAAAAAAATGGCAAAAAAATAATTTTATAGATGAACAAGAAACTAAGAAATTGTTGGTCCATAATCCACAAAAATACGTGGTCCTCCAAAACTACGTGAAACCAACATTCCTTTACGTCCAAGTCTCCAGTATTCAATAACCTTTATACAGGGTGGAGTGTTAGAAGCTTGACTGCCTTAATTTTAAGAGACGATAAAATACATTAAAATAAACAAAAAACCTTATATGACATAAGTCCTAAACTCAACCATTTCCGAGAAAAAAATTATCAAAATCTCCAACTTGATGTACAAAAATTCGATTAATTAAGGAATATTGACTTAAACTGCGTGCATAGAATACCATAAAATGCAATGTTTATCACTTTTTAGAATTTCTTTATGCTTAATTCTAAAAAATAATTAGCGTTGTAATAAATTTAAAATTCGATAAAATTCACATCGAGCAATGTGACAATGGCGCGGTGGTTAACACGAGGTACTAAGCTGTCCAGCAGCCAGCAATACGCGATTCAGTTGGTATCTGGAATTCGACCGTGTCGGAGTGTTTTTTTGCGTACCACTATGTTATTTCCTTTTCTTGAGGTGCTTCTCCTTGCTTTTTTAAAATGTTTACCATACGTGAGTGTCCACTAGGTTTTTACTTATGGGAATACATGAAGAACTGTATACCAGCGAGGTTGAAACCGTCGAATACTTGCGAGAATGAATTTTTAGCGTTGCCCATCAAATAATTAAATCCGGGTATTTTCCAGCGAGTGCGCGAAAATTGGATTTGAAGGTGTCGTGCGTGCATCGACAATGGTGGTGGACATTTTAAGCATATATGTTGTAGTTTGTTTTGTAGTTGTGCGTTTAAAGTGGACTGAATTTTGCTTTTTAATACATATGATTATTTGGATGACGTGAATCTTTGGGTATTTTAATTACATATTTTTCAAATTCATAATTTGATTAAAAGTTAAGTTCCTGTTTTAATAGAGATTCATAATTACTAAAATTTAAGCACAATGCTGTCTTTGTACCACAAAATCGGTACATTTTATTTTATTTATTTAAAAACTAGAAGACAATTGTCTTGAAATTTACTAAATGTTTCACATTAATACTTGTTTACATTTTTTCCGTAGGACAAGTCTGCCGCGGGAACACTTTGTATACGTTAGGTTAAGCGCTGTGGTCACGTTGTGATGAAACTCCCCAATATTAATAAATCGAAATTTGACTTCAGATTTGTGATCAGCACCATCGAAAATAGGAATGTAGGAATATTTATATTTTTAAGATTGGAGAGTTGTAAATAGTTACCATAAATATATTTTTTATTTATCAAGTTTGGATAGGATAGATAGATTTCCTTGGTCAACACCCACGGTCTATTAATAGACAGTGGTCAATAACACAGTTCAGCATTCACTGCACCACAGACTCATTCTTAAAGAGTCGTCACTGGTCAAGGTCCGTGATCCGTGTCACTAAACTGAAGTATACCGCATTCAGTCATCACAGAGGTTAAAAAACGCAATATAAGCGCAACTTCTTTAAATGAAAATCGCCCCTTTTTGTAAAATATCAAGCGCAAATTATCAGTTAAAATCGCCCAATTTGCGATAAAGCGCCCAATCTGGCTACACTGCTATCGAGTCACTGGTTCTCAATCGGCCTAGTCGCCGCGCGCGCCATTATTCTATGGCTAGAAATTGGCCTCAATGATTTGGGATCGAGGGGGATTATCCCTCTTTATCCTGCCTCATCTCGTGTAGGCCTGGACAGCCTTCGTAGGTGGGCCCCATCCGTCGTCTACCCCGACCGCAAATGCGGCCGGTGTAGGCGCTTTGTGGGACCTCCTTTTGTCCTGGCTGGGCCCCGCCGGCTAGGGCCCTTTCTTCTGGCGCTCTTCTTGCTTCGCCGGCTCGTCTGTGTAAACCCCGGGGGTAGTGTCATGTTTATG